ACCAATGATGCATTAGGTTGATAAAGTTGCAACGTGTTTGGACGTCGAAGTCCCTGATCACTGGGAGCACATCTGATAAAACAAAAAGATGATAAATGAGAAAGGAAGAACACATCCTTAGAATTGAGAATATGATATAAGTCATTCTCAATGTGAATTTGTTTTAAAAACGCAGGCACTTGCAGACTTCAACAACTTTTTATTTATTTTCAATTTGTATAAAACACAATAAATTGTTGTTAATTTAAACAACAAAATGGTTTTTTTGTTGTTATCACTGGAATTAACGTTGCATCTTTTGCAGAAAAAATACTTAACCAAGTTTTAAGTTTGAAAAAGTTTACAGTCAGACAGACGACGGGCAATGGCTTATCAGATTTACAACTTTACACCTTCCATTCAGCTGAGCTTAAATTTATACATATAGATATGTGCTTTAGTTTTGAATAAACTCACATCATCATTGGAGTCTGTTGTTGCCCCAGATTGCCGTTACAAATCTCTGGATTAGTACGAAATCTAAAAACAAGAGTAAAATGGAAACAATATTAATTAAGATGACTTGTATGCGGGAATAAACAATAAGAAAATGATCTTGAATCAAAACTTCTTAGAAATATTTTTAAAGATGCACGTGAAGGGTATACAGAAAATGGTGGTGATCATATAATCACCATATCAACGGAAAACTCAAATGAGGTCCATAGGTTTTTGCATACATATTAAATAAAAATTACCCCCAAGAATCACTAATTATTTAAAGTTTAATTTACCTTGAAATGGGTGGCCCACTGTAGGTAACCCTTTCCGTGGAACTTGAACCATCTACGTTTCTTGAATATCGAAGACATGGAAATTGAATTTATATAAATAGTAGAGTAAAAATTTATCTATGAATAACATAAGAAATGATCAAAAGTATCAAGATATTTTGACTTCTACCAGGGCTTTCTGTTACAGTAAAATATAGATGTATCAAATAGTAGTTATTGAAAAACAATGTATGCATTTAGACTCGTTTAAAGGTATCATTTCGCAAGTTCTATGATCGATTCAAAGACCTTGTCAGCAAATACAACATATCATTGAGTCAAATGCTGACTGAAGTTGTTCATATTATGGTGAAAATAACGTGGCAACTAACAATAGGCCAAACAAGAACCCAGTTTCTTTTAAACCCATGTTTAAAATTAAGGTGGTCACAAACCATAGGCCAACAACATAATGTAAATTCACTACCAATGGGACGTTTTAACGGGTTGGAGGTGAGTATGTTTTCCTTTACAACTTTCAGCATGCACAGACACTTGAAGCTTAGAATCTAACACTGATAATGATCACGTTATCACACTGTGACTACTGGTATTGGCTAAAGACCAAAAAGATCTCTAAAACCTGAGACAATTCATTACATAACAGACAACTAGTTTACCAAGCCTAAGTTAACACATTACATAATATACTGCTAAATTCTTAACACAAAAATGTCAAGACACATCTGAATGCATAAACATCTTATTTCCAATTTATTTCTGATAATATTACATCTGTTAATTGTTTTTGTGTGCTTAATGTTCAAAGCGCAAATAATTTTTTAAAAATTAAATGGGCAATATTCAATAGACGTGCCACTTTTGTTAAGGCGGCAAGTTTAATTACAATTATTAAGTTTATATTAAATACAGAATTCATTTTGTCTTAAATTACATATAGGGTGAATTCACCATGTATCGGACACCCTTGTACCTTCAACAAGTTCTAGTGATTTGTCTACTGACGGAAAATTATCAAAATGGACTTTAACATATAGTATGTTATTAAAATATAAATTTGGGATACAATTGTATGTTTGTTATTGAGAAAATATCACCAAAATGGATTTTTTTTAAAAAATCACTCTGAATTCACCGTGGATCGGACATTATTTACCATGCATCGGACAGACGGTATTTAGACCGGTAAAAATATCATACCTTTATCACAGTGCTTTAAAATCTTTGGTATGGATATACTTTTATCTTCTATCTAAAAAAATACCCTCAGCTTAAATTTATTTGACGATATTGTTGCACAAATGTAGGATGATTCAAGATGTCTCACTCTGCCTTAAAAAGGCTTTAAAATGCGTTAAATGTAGGAATTCGCGCCTTTTTCTCATGAGTTATCATACTCTGTTTTGTTTGTTTTGAACATATTTTATTGTCAAGCAAAAGGATAAGAAACAAGTTCTAACAACTTACTAGTCCTTCTCCTTAAAATAAACCCATAGTAATTGTCATGCAAAAAAGTAAAAAAAAAAAACTTGTACAAATAAGAGTCAAAAATATATCTAGCTAAATCTACAAGATTCGTTTATAAATTTGTGAACAGCGGCAAAAATGCCAATGTTTACTTCAATTGAAAGATATCAAAAGCAGTAGGTGTACATCTATGATGTCTATATCAAGTCGAAAAAGATAGCCAAAAAGATTACTTCGAGCATTGGGGTATTTTTTACAAACAAAGAAAAAATGATAGGCATCTTCCTGTTTACCACAAGAGCAATAAGGATTATCAATGATATTACGTTTGAATAAGTCTTGGTTTAATACACAATTGTGCCTGAATTTAGTATGAATAATGTTAATAATACGTTTACCAAACAGAACAAGATGTGTTTGTGAAACACTATGCGCCCGGCGGCAACAAAGTTCGAAAAATCTATTTTAAGCATATTGGTCACTGTTAAGGTCACAAGGTCATTGACCTTGGTGTCGTTTGAAATAACTTAATTGGTGGCGTATGCATACCAAATACATGTATAAATCCCTATTTCCTATGGTTCAAAAGTTATGGCAAAAAGTGGAAAACGCCATTTTAGCATATAGGTCACAGTCAAGGTCACAAGATCATTGACCTTGACGACATTCGAAAGGACTTTATTAGTAGAGTATGTATACCAAATATGAAGTCCCTGTCTCCTATGGTTCAAAAGTTATGACAAAGAGTGGAAAAGGCTATTTTTACCATTAAGGTCACAGTAAAGGTCACAAGGTCATTGACCTTGATGTCATTTGAAAGGACTTTATTAGTGGAGTATGCATACCAAATATGAAGTCACTATCTCTTATGGTTCAAAAGTTATGGCGAAGGTTAAAGTTGACAACAGACAGAAAGACAAACAGATAAACAGACAGACAGACAGGACAAAAACAATACACGCCCTGAATCTATGGATCCGGGCGCATAAAAATGATGGTGCTTTAGGATTATTATCACTTATATAATCTTACGAAAAGAATTGACTGAGATGGCTTCCCTTGTATCTGTATTCAATAAATTCCATTTTTTAACTGCATCAGGTACAAACGATTTGTTAAATTTTTCTAGCCTGCCTCTTGGGATAGTTAATTGATCTTTATTTCGTGTACTGTATCTTGATGTGTGTTCTCGTTTCTTTGGGACTATATCTTGTATATATTCTGGTACATCACAATTATTAATTTTGAACATTGTAATCATTTTAGATTGGTAACGACGGTTTCCCAAAGGTACCCATCCTGTTTCAAAATAGAGTGATTCTCTTGAAGCTAGTATCGGAGGACCAGTAACTATTCTAGCAGCCATTAATTGTACTTTTTCAAGTTTTTCTACATCAGATAAAGAGCAACCATCCCAGACAATTGAAGCATATTCAAGTGTAGGTCTTACAAATGTTGTATACAATAGAGAAAGGTTTTTCCTACCAATTGAAAATTTTAATTTTTTCAATAACCCCAATTTCCTATAAGCATTATTAACAATACTATCTATATATTCAGTCCAGCTTAGATTTTGTGACAACAATATACCTAAATGGCGATGCGCCGATACAAACTCTAGTGCATTGCCTTGAAAAATACAAGTTAGGTAAAACAGGTCTATGTTTCAAAGAAAAAAATACAACTTTTGTTTTTGCTGGATTAAATCTTAAAAGCCATTTACTCGACCATTTATCTAAAACATCAAGATCATGGTTTAACCTGTATTCTATATCTAGTGCATTATATGATGCATGTTGCAGTGAATTGTCATCAGCAAATAATCTACACATTGTAAGCATATTTTCAGCAACATCGTTAATATATATCAAAAATAAAAGAGGACCTAGAACTGAGCCTTGAGGCACACCTGCATATATATTGAGGTTGGATGATAACAAATCTTTATACATAACTTTTTGTGATCTATTTCTCAAGTAACTTGTAAACCACGGTAAAAGATCACCAGATATTCCATACGTTTGTAATTTGAAAAGAAGACCCTTATGCCATACTCTGTCGAATGCTTTAGATAGATCGCAAAAAACCATACAACACGATTTGTTTTCATCTATACTTTGAACAATACTATGGTAAGTTTCTAGAAGTTGGTACACTGTAGAGTGACAAGGTAAAAAAAACCCGCTTGATATCGATAAAATAAATTGTTAAAATGAAAATAATTCTCTCCATAATTTTGCTAACACAGCTTAACAACGACACAGGCCTATAGTTAGACACTAAAGACGGATCATCCTTTTTAAAGAGAGGTAATACATGAGCTACTTTCCACCTGGACGGGAAAGCATTCACTTCCAGTGATTTATTAAATAACATAGTCAATGGTTTTGAAACAGTAGAAACAGCATTTTTAAGCATTTTGTGACTGATGCAGTCGAGACCTGTAGCTTTATTAACAGGGAGTATTGAAATAATGTCAACTACCTCTTATTCATCAATTATAATATTACTTAGATTAGCACTACATAAAGAGTAGATTTGTGGTAGACTATGGTTTTTATCATCAATACAGGAGATGGATGAAAAATAACTGTTGGGTGCTTCAATTTTATATCATGATCACAAAAGGCTAAGCTATTTTTCCCATTATCTGTAGTAATTTGTAATAGAGGGATATCACTCGATGATTTAACATTAATTGCGTCCATCATTAGTTTCCAATATAATTTGTTGTTGTTTTTGTTAGCGTCTACTAGGTGCATTTCTATATTATCATAGTAATTAGCTATAGCATAATTTTTCTTGAAAGTGTTCCTTACTTTTTTAAATTCAGCCCAATCCGAATCTTTCTTCGTTCGTAATGCTTTGTTTCGTAATCTATTTCTAAGTCTTAGAGTTTTACGCAGAATGGAGTCCATCCAATAGTAATTGTGGACGAATAGTAATTGTTTTTTCACAGAAAGATTGTCTAACACAAGAGAGAAATTTATTTGAAAAATTATCGGTAGCCTCGTCTATATCGTCGGCATCATCGACATATTTATCCCAATCACAATTTTGTATTAAGGAATTTAATTTGTTAAAGTCACCATTCTTATAATCCCATACCTTTCTTTTGTAAGCGCGATTGTAATTTATATTCGAGGATAGTACTAGTGCAATATGAGTTGCTTTGTGATCACTGAAAGCTGGGTCAATTTCAAGGACACCCGAATCGTGTACCTGAATATCAAGTGAAGTGAAAACTGGGTCAAGAAGCGTGCGTGTATTGTTAGTAATTCTCGTCGATACGTGGATGTTATTGACAAGATTGGAATTTGAAACTATTTCACGTATTATGTGTGTTGAAGGTGTATTTAACAAATCTACTTAAGGAATCACTGTCTAGTTTTGAGAGTATGCCAGGGCATCAACAATAGTGGGAAACGGGATAATTTGCATAACGGGTTGATTTGACCTCTGAATCATGAAATGCACAAGTAAGTTGAACTGCACAAAACAAAAGACGTAAACTGATGCAGTTCATGTGCATCTTGATTGATCATACTCTGGTTTGTAGAAATAAATTGAGTCAGATTCTAGACGTCATATAT